CGGGAGGTGGAGGTTGCAGTGAGTCAAGGTTTTGCCACTGCATTCCACGCTGGGCTACAGAGCTAGACTCTGTCTCCAAAAAAAAAAAAAAGTCAGGGTCTCGCTCTGTTGCACAGGCTGGAGTGCAGTGGTGTGATCACATGCTGCACTGTAGCCTTGACCTTTTGGGCTTAAGCTATCCTCCTGCCTCAGCCTCCCAAGTAGCTAACAGGCATGCACTCCCACGCCTGGCTAATTTTTTATTTCTGTAGAGATGGGGTCTCACTATGTTGCCCAGGCTAAATAACATAATGAACGTAAGCAATCCTCTGGCCTTGGCCTCCCAAAGTGCTGGGATTATAGCTGTGAGCCACCCACGCCCAGGCAGAGGGAAGTTCTTAAAAAGGAAGCCTGGTGAGATGAAGCAATGCACACAATATAATGTTCCGTGGGAATGCAGAATGCGCATTGCTTTTTGAAATGTGTGTCAAAGTCAGGTTTTGTTGGGTGAAATAAATACGCACGTCGGGGAGGGTGGGAAAGAACTCTGTCCTTAGCTAAAAGTTCACCTATGAATTCTTGGAGCACTTGCCTGTGCAGCTGAGGTGAGTGTGAGAGTCGTATTTCACCAGGCCTTCCCTGCTCCCCCAAGATGTCAAAGGGACTACCTGGAAACCACTCTGTGGCTCCCAACATCTTGTTCTTTTTTTTCTTTCTTTTTTTTTTTTTTTAGACGGAGTCTTGCTCTGTCACCCAGGCTGGAGTGCAGTGGCGCAATCTCAGCTCACTGCAACCTCCACCTCCCGGGTTCATGCCATTCTCCTGCCTCAGCCTCCCGAGTAACTGGAACTATAGGCGCTCGCCACTACGCCCGGCTAATTTTTTGTATTCTTTAGTAGAGACGGGGTTTCACCGTGTTCACCAGGATGGTCTTGATCTCCTGACCTCGTGATCCACCCGCCTCGGCCTCCCAAAGTGCTGGGATTACAGGCATGAGCCACCGTGCCCGGCTCCAACATCTTGTTCTAAGCGAGGCTTGTCGTTATCCCAGGGATGCCAAAACACTGAGAATTCCTGCCTTCTGCAATATGTGGATTAACTCCCCATGAACTTAATTTTTCCTTTTTTTTTTTTTTGAGATGGAGTTTGGCTCTTGTCGCCCAGGCTGGAGTGCAGTGGTGCGATCTAGACTCACTGCAACCTCCACCTCCCGGGTTCAAGCAATTCTCCTGTCTCAGCCTTCCGAGCAGCTGGGATTACAAGCGCCCACCACCACACTCGGCTAATTTTTGTATTTTTAGTAGAGACTGGGTTTTGCTATGTTGGCCAGGCTGGTCTCGAACTCCTGACCTCAAGTGATCCACCCACCTTAGCCTCCCAAAGTGTTGGAAATACAGGTGTGAGCCACTGTGCCTGGCCTTAATTTTTCCTTTTTAGCCAAAGGTTGTGAGTGGTCTGATGGCTTCTGATCCAGTCCCATCTCAGTTTTCTTGGGCTTTTAAGGACATTTAATAATTGATGGGGCGGCTGCCTTCTGAGCCATCGGGAGTGGAGGGTGCTTTGGATTCTAGTGCTTTGACGTGCAGGAGGAAGGGAGCATCTCTGGGACCTTATCGTTCGGCACCCTGCACTGTATGGCCTTGGGTAAGTCATGCCTCCTCTTGAGGCCTTGGCCATCAAATCTATGAGATGGGCCATGTTGCCCAGGCTGGTCTCGAACTCGTGACCTCAAGTGATCCTCCCACCTCACCCTTCCAAAGTGCTGGGATTACAGGTGTCAGCCACCACCCACACAACCACCCACTTTTATCTCCCAGGAGGGCCCAACTCTTCTCCCTTAGTTCCAATGTGAAAAATCCCAGGGGAGAATCTGATTGGCCCAGCTTGGGTCACATGGTTGCCCAGGGCCAGGAGGGTGGGGCAGCCACCTGACTGGGGTCGGGGAGGAGGGGCTCTTCCTGATAAGGGGTGTCTGTCCAGAACAGAGAGGGTCCCAGCTTTTGAGTGATGGAGGGTTGGTTGCACTACAGCCTCTAGAGTCTTCTTCAGAGGGAGGAGAGAGCATGAAGCTTGGGAGAAAAGGCTTCCCGGAGTTAAGTGGGAAACAGAGCTCCTCGTCTATTCTTGTCCCTTTGATCCTCAGTGGTATTGTCAATTCCATGACAACGGGAGATGCAGTCTTTTAAGTCACAAGTGATTTTCGCAAGCAACAAACTTTATATTTTTATCACTCTGAATCCTCCCAAATGACTGCTTTCTCAAGGGCTGTGTGTGGGGCCTGCCAGAGTCTCCTTGAGGATCCACAGTGCCTCCAGAGGTGGGTGACACCCCACTGGTCTTGGGGCGCTCTTGGAATCTGCCCGTTGACGTCATTTCTGCTGCCAGGCACTGCCTCTGTCTGGCTCCTGCCTCCTGCCCCCTCCGCTTCTGTCTCCTCTGCCTCTTGAAGGGCATTTGCAAGCAAATTGAGCTTTGTAGTGGAGAGCATCAGCCTCAATTTCACTTGAAACCGTCATCTTCAGCTTGAGAGGCTACACAGTCACATGAACACACACACACACAAACACCCCCAAAACGCTGTCACACACAGAAATGCATATGTGCTTGGACACACATATAGGCACACACAGACATACGCGTGCATGCAAGACACACACGCTGATGCACACTCAGCCACAGCCACACAGACACATTCAGACACACAGGAGGCGTGCACAGAGTCAGATAGGGACAGACAGACGAGCAAAGCAGGATACAAAGGAGCCGCACAGATGGACAGACCCAGACACACATATACAAGGACACGCACACACACACTCAATCTCACGTAGATGTATACACTTGTCAGTGCTGAACTGGTCAGTATTTAACACAACCAGCATTCTGACTTGTAGCAGTTGCTAATTTCCTCGGTGTCAATATTCCCACCGGTTTCCAGGTATCATTATGAGGTCAGAGTTGGGGAGAGGGCACACGGTTGAGCTGGGAGGAGTCGGCTCTGACACCCGTAGCCACTGCCAGGCTCACACAGACACTCACAACAATAGACACACGCACACGTGCTCTGCTGAAAACTCTCTCCCCGCTGGTGTCCCAGCAGTCCTGGATTTAACCCCTGGGTATGCTGTGTGTCTTTGATCACATTTCTCAACCTCTCTGAGCCTGCCCTTTCTTGTAAAATGGCAAAAGCCCAGCCAGGGCTGACGGAAGGATGGGTGGTCATTTGGGAGTGCCCCCACATGGAGCCTGGCACCCGGTGGTGGCTTGGCCTTGCACAGAAGAGAGAGTGCTCTGTGACCATCTGCTTGGTCCTGGGGTCTGGGCGCTGGGCTGACACAGATACCTGTTCAGCTGCCTGTTCACCAGAGCCCCAGGACCACAGCTGGTGTGTGCCCACCAGCCTGTCGGCAGCCCTTTGGCACTATGCTGCTCTGGAACAAGATGTGGGGTATGTCCCCTGGTACAATTTAGGGCCCCCACCCTCTGCAACCTGGTCCCCCAGGCTTCCCAGATTTGTGTCTTGGGCTGGTCTCTCTGCCTGGAGGGTCCTGCCTCTGGCCCCTCACCTTCTGACCATCAGAGTTCATGCTGTGGCTGCGCGTGGTGAGGTCCATCTGTAGTTCAGCTACTTGAGAGGCCGACGTGGGAGGATCTCTTGGGTCCAGGAGTTCGAGGCTACAGTGAGCTGTGATCGTGCCACTGCACCCTAGCCTGGGCGACAGAGCAAGACCTTGTCTCTACAGAAAATTTTAAACAGCATCAGCCAGGTGTGGTGGTGGTGCACCTGTGGTCCCAGCTACTTGGGAGGCTGAGGTGGGAGGATCACTTGAGCCTGGGAGGTCTAGGCTGCAGTGAGCTATGATGGCCCCACTGCACTCCAGCCTGGGTGACAGAGTGAGACCTCCAACTCTTAAAAAAAAAAAAAAAAAAGAGTAATTGGCCAGGCGCAGCGGCTCAAGCCTGTAATCCCAGCACTTTGGGAGGCCAAGGCGAGTAGATCACCTGAGGTCAGGAGTTCGAGACCAGCCTGGTCAACATGGTGAAACCTCATCTCTACTAAAAATACAAAAATTAGCAGGGCGTGGTGGCACATGCCTGTAATCCCAGCTACTTGGGAGGCTGAGGCAGGAGGATTGCTTGAACCTGGGAGGCAGAGGTTGCAGTGAGCCGAGATCTCGCCACTGAACTCCAGCCTGGGCAACAAGTAAGACTCCATCTTAAACAAACAAATAAAAAAACAAAAAACAAAAACAAACAAAAAAGAGGCCAGGCATGGTGGCTCACGCCTGTAATCCCAACACTTTGGGAGGCCAAGGTGGGAGGATCACCTGAGATCAGGAGTTCAAGACCAGCCTGGCCAAAGTGGTGAAACTCTGTCTCTACTAAAAAATACAAAAATTAGCCGGTTGTGATGGGGTATGCACCTGTAATCCCAGCTACTAGGGAGGCTAAGGCAGGAGAATCGCTTGAAACAGGGAGGTGGAGGTTGCAGTGAGCTGAGATCATGCCACTGCCTTCCAGCCTGGATGACAGAATGAGACTCTGTCTCAGAAAAAAAAAAAAAAAAAAAAAAAATTACCAGATAGATTCCACAAACTGTCTCCAAAGGAGAGGAGACAAGAGATGTGCTTCCAGATTTCCAGAACCTTCCCTGCATCTCCTCAACAAACCTAGTTCCCCTCAGCTCTGGAACGGGCTCAGGGCCTTGCCTGGACCCTAAGTTTACTCTGCATATGGCTGTGATCTGAACTGGGTGAGGCCGGGGGACGACCCTGCCCCCCAGTCTGGGCCAGAGCTCCCATTTCCCAGGCTCATGCTTGGCTGTGGGTGGGCCCTGAGGGACCCTTTGCTGGCGGGGTCACAGATACAAGGTCCTGGTTTGTCAGCAGCCTGTTGACTTGCTCATGCAGTACGGGGGCCCTGTGGAGGGGACACGCTGTCCCCCAGGCCACCTCTGTCTGGCCTGGGAGGAGTCTGGGCAGGTCCCCGCCCCAGGGCCAAGTCCACCCTGTGGCCTCTTTGCCGTCTCTTCCCTCAAAGGGTTTCCTGCTGCTGGACTGGAAATGATTTCTTCTGATATTTCAGAGGCAGAAGGCATTTCTCACCTTCCCAAGAGCCAGGAGGATGGAGGTTAGAAAGAGTGGGGTCGTTTCCGGCCCAGGGAGGCCAAGTGGGAACCCTGTGACCGATCCATTTGTCCTGGTTCCCGGGAGGATGTCACCCAGGCAGGGCTCAGGGGAGGAGGTGGAGATTTGGGGGTGGAGGGGCTCCCACAGCCTGGGCCTGAACCCCCTGCTGGGCTCCTCCACCTCCCAGCTCTGCCTCTGGAGGGAGAGGCTAATCTTCCTCCAAACACTTCAGGCTTCAGGAAATCACAGGCTCTCAGAGTGCAGGGCCCCTCTCGGCAGAGCGAGTGTGATTTTTCCCGGGAAGTGGCTCTTATAAGATGCTCTAAGGGGTCCCTGACCTGAAGAGAAGGTTCAACAGCCCTGCCTCGGAGGAGGAAAATGAACATTCACTGTGCGTACAAAAATAGCTTATATGCTCGGAGCCTGCGTTTGAGGGGTGCAGGCTCAGCGCACAGGGGTCTGGGTCCAAGCCTCCACCTCGCTGGCACTCTCAATGAACTTGGGAGCAGGCACGTCCCCTCTCCGGCAGGTTCATTCCCCGTCAAGGAGGGAGAAACGGGCCATCTTCATGGGCCTCGGCAAGGCAGGAAGGGCTGAGTGCAGTGAGGGCTGAATGCTCGCTCCTCCTGGACACTGTGGCCCTGGCAGCCGCAGGGAAGATTCAAGGCATGTGTGGCTGGGCGGAGTTGTTTCAGCTCTGCCCTGAGCAGGGAGCCGTGTTGGTGGGCAGTTGGGTCCTGAGGGGTCGGGGTCTAGCTGGTCAGGTGACGTCTTCCACTCCCAGACTCTAGGAAGCAGGCCCGGCTTCGGGAGGGCAGACATGTCGTTTGTACCGGGCACAAGTGGCCAGGGAATGACCGATGGCAGGCTGTTATGACCGGAAGGAGGACAGAACCGGGACAGTGGAGGTCTTGGTTCTAGTGGCTGCTGTGACATTGTCCTCTCCTCTCTCTGCTTGTCTCTCTCCCTATCCTCATCCTGATCCCCACCCTTCCTCTCTCCCTCTCTTTTCTCCTCTGTCCTGGAGTCTCCCTCTGTCGCCCAGGCTGGAGTGCAGTGGCGCGATCTCGGCTCACTGCAACCTCTGCCTTCCGGGTTCAAGTGATTTTTCTGCCTCAGCCTCCTGAGTAGCTTGGACTACAGGCACCCACCACCACGCCCGGTTAATTTTTGTATTTTTAATAGAGATGGGGTTTCACCATGTTGGCCAGGCTGGTCTTGAATTCCTGACCTCAGGTGATATACCCATCTTGGCCTCCCAAAGTGTTGGGATTACAGGTGTGAGCCACTGCACCTGGCCTAATTTTTGTATTTTTAATAGAGACGGGGTTTCACCATATTGGCCAAGCTGGTCTCGAACTCCTGACCTCGTGATTCTCCTCTGCCCTCCTTTTTTCTTTCTTTTTTTTTCTTTTTTTGTAAGACAGGGTCTCGCTCCATCCCCTAGGCTGGAGTGTAGTGGCGCAATCTCAGCACACTGTAGCTCCTAACTCCTGGGTTCTAGTAATCCTTCTTTCTCGGCCTCCCACATAGCTGGAATCACAGGTGCATGCCACTATGTCTGGCTAATTTTTTGTAGAGATGGAGCCTCACTATGTTACCAGGCTGGTCTTGAACTCCTAGGCTCAAACGATCCTCCTGCCTCGGCCTCCCAAAGTGCTGGGACTATAGGTGTGAGCCACTACACCCAGCCCCTTCTGCCTGTCTTGCCCCTAACAGGTGGGTGCCAGTCACCTTTCGCCTGAGGGCATTCCCGGTGCAGGTGCACGGCTGGGGCCGGCCCTAGGAGCGGCCCTCGCTTATGATGGGTGGCAGTTGGTGGATACACTCGGGCTTCCTGGTGCCTGGGTTGGGACAGCCACAGCAGCCCAGGGGCTCCCAAGAGGGTTGAGTTCCCCTTCCCATCGAGGTTCCGGCTGTCTAAAGAACAGGCTTGCTCAGACCCACAGCCCTTCTCAGGTTGTCTGCATGTTTGCTTCAGGGTTGCTTTGGGGACACCCCCCTTCCGGGGCTTCCTGCTCCCACTTCTGCTAACAAAGGTCTTGGAGGCCTGGCGCAGTGGCTCATGCCTGTAATCCCCGCACTTTGGGAGGCTGAGGCAGGCAAATCACGAGGTCAGGAGATCCAGACCATCCTGGCTAACATGGTGAAACCTCGTCTCTACTAAAAAATACAAAAAATTAGCCAGACGTGGTGGCGGGCGCCTGTAGTCCCAGCTACTCAGAAGGCTGAGGCAGGAGAATCACTTGAACTCGGGAGGTGGAGGTTGCAGTGAGCCAAGATTACACCACTGCACTCCAGCCTGGGCGACAGAGTGAGACTCAGTCTCAAAAAAAAAAAAAAAAAAAAGAGGCATGTTTGTGGCTAGACATGGTGGCTTACGCCTGTAATCCCTGTATCTGAGGTCAGGATTTCAAGACCAGCCTGCCCAACATGGTGAGACTCCCGTCTCTACTAAAAATACCAAAATTAGCTAGGCGTGGTGGCACACACCTGTAATCCCAGCGACTTGGGAGGCTGAGGCAGGAGAATCGCTTGAACCCAGGAGATGGAGGTTGTTGTGAGCTGAGATTGCACCATTGCACTCTAGCCTGGGTGAGAGAGTGAGACTCCGTCTCAGAACAAAACAAACCAAACAAATAAAAAAAGGCATGTTTGTGTTGGAGACATTCTGTCGCAGGAGCTAGGGTGGAGGCCCCGGGGCACCCTGCAGCCAGGACTCCCTTCACTCAGCTTATGTGAGCAGCCACTGTATGCCTGGATCTGTGCTGGGCCCAGGGATGGTGAGATGAGGCAACCGACGCCACCTGTCCTCGGGGGGTTCCCAGGGTACTGGGGAAGGCAGGTGGAAGAGCCAGCAGGCCTCAGATGAGCAGGCTCTGGGGGCCGACGGCCTGCAGCTGCATCCAAGATCTCCTGTTATTGTGAGTTAGTACCTCTCTCCATGCCTCAGTTTCCTCATTTGCAATGGGCACGATAATAGCTTCCTCCTCAAAGGGCCATCGTGAGGCAGAAATGATTCCCATGAAGCACCTCCAGTGGGGCCTGGCCCGTGGTCGGATCTCAGTCGCTGTGAGATGTCAGTGTTAGGAACAGGGCACTGAGCAGGCCTGGAGCTGGGCCAGGGACCTCTCGGGAGGGCTGCAGAGAGTGGCCACCAGGCAAGCGCTGGGCGTGGTGGATTGAAGCAGGGCCTCTCTGTGACAGGGCCTGCCAGGTTCCTGGAGAAACTGCCTTGAGTTGGTGATGAGATAGGAAAGCCTGTTAAAACAAAACATTTAACTTATTTATTTATCTCTCATTTTATTTTCTTCTTCTTCTTCTTATTATTTTTTGAGACGGAGCCTCGCTCTGTCGCCCAGGCTGGAGTGCAGTGGCGCGATTTCCACTCACTGCAAGCTCCGCTCCCCGGGTTCACACCATTCTCCTGCCTCAGCCTCCCGTGTAGCTCGGACTACAGGCGCCCGCCACCGCGCCCGGCTAATTTTTTGTATTTTTAGTAGAGATGGGGTTTCACAGCGTTAGCCAGGATGGTCTCGATCTCCTGACCTCATGATCCGCCCGTCTCGGCCTCCCAAAGTGCTGGGATTACAGGCTTGAGCCACCATGCCCAGCTTATTTTACTTTATTATTTTATTTTTTTTGAGACAGAGTCTCCCTCTGTTGCCCAGGCTGGAGTGCAGTGGCATCCTCTCGGCTCACTGCAACCTCCACCTCCCAGGTTCAAACTATTATCCTGCCTCAGCCTCCCCAGTAGCTGGGATTATGGGCATGTGTCACCACGCCTGGCTGATTTTTGTATTTTTTAGTACAGACGAGGTTTCACTATGTTGGCCAGGCTGGTCTCAAACTCGTGACCTCAAGTGATCTGCCTGCCTGGGCCTCCCAAAGTGCTGGGCTTACAGGTGTGAGCCACCGCACCCGGACTAACTCTTGTTTTAGATGCTGAGGGCACACGTGCGGCCTTGTTACATGGGTAACTTGTGTGTCATGGCGGTTTGGGGTACAGATTATTTTGTCACCCAGGTAATAAGCACAGAACCCAGCAGGTAGTTTTTTAGATCCTCACCCTCCTCCCCATCTCCACCCTCAAGTAGGCCCTCGTGACTATTGTTTCTTCTTTGTGCAAATACATATAACAGAGTCTCACTCTGTCGCTCAGGCTGGAGTGCAGTGGTGCAATCTTGGCTCACTGCACCCACGACCTCCCAGGCTCAGATGATCCTCCCGCCTCAGCCTCCCTGAGTAGCTGGGACCACAGGCATGCACCACCATGCCTGGCTAATTAAAAAAAAAGTGGTAGAGATGAGGTCTCACTCTGTTGCCCAGGCTGGTCTCGAACTCTTGGGCTCAAGCAATCCTCCCATCTTGAGCTTCCTAAGTGCTGGGATTACAGGCCCACCTTGGCCTCCAGAAGTGTTGGGATTACAGGGATGAACCACCTCGCCTGACCTGCAAAAAAATTTTTTTTATATAAAAGGAGTTTCTCCCCATCACTGATGCAAACCTGCTGGAGAGCTCAAGATACACTGCACGGTTTTCCAAAGGAACGTGCTATATTTATGTGTGTCTATTTCTGGGCTTTCTATTCTGCTCCATTGATCCATCTCTCTGTTTGCTTGCCAGTTCCACAGGGTCTTTATTTATTTATCTTTTAGAGACCAGGTCTCGCTCTGTTGCCCAGGCTGGAGTGCAATGGTGCGATCATAGCTCACTGCAGCCTTGACCTCCTGGGCTCAAGGGATCCTCCTAGCTCAGCTTCCTGAGTAGCTGGGACTACAAGTGTGTACCACAGTGCCTGGCTAATTTTTTATTTTTCATTTTTGTAGAGATGAAGCCTTGCTATGTTTCCCAGGCTGGTCTAAAACTCCTGGCCTCAAGCCACCCTCCCATCTTAGGCTCCCAAAATGCTGGGATTATAGGCGTGAGCCACTGCACTGGTTCCCCTACCTCTTTTTTTATTTTTATTTATTCATTTATTTATTTATGTATTTACTTTTTGAGACTGAGTCTTGCTCTGTCGCCCAGGCTGGAGTGCAGTGGCGCGATCTCAGCTCACCACAACCCCCACCTCCCGGGTTCAAGTGAGTCTCCTGCCTCAGCCTCCTCGGTAGCTGGGATTACAGGCGCCCGCCACCACGCCCAGCTAATTTTTGTATTTTTAGTAGAGACAGGGTTTACACTATGTTGGCCAGACTGGTCTCGAATTCCTGACCTCAGGTGATCCACCCACCTTAGCCTCCCAAAGTGCTGGGATTACATGTGTGAGCCACCGTGCCCAGCCCTGTTTTTATTTTTTATTTTTAAGAGATGGGCTCTCTCTGCATTACCCAGGCTTGAGTGCAGTGGCTATTTACAGGTACAATTGTAGTGCACTGCAGCCTTGGACTCCTGGGCCCATGCTATCCTCCCATCTCAGCCTTCCACATAGCCAGGACTACAGGCATCCCCTACTGTGCCTGGCTCATGCCTTGATTACTGTAGTTTTATAGTAAATATTAAATCAGTCTTCCAACTTTCTTCTTCAATATTACGTTGGCTATTCTGGCTCTTTCGTCTCTCCATATAAACTTGAAAATTAGTTTGTCATTATCCACAAAATAATTTGCTGGGATTTTGATTGGGATTGTGTTGAATCTACAGATCAAGTAGGGAAGAGCTGACATGTTGACAATATCAAGTTCTCCTATCCATGAACATGGAATATCTCTCCATGTATTTGGTTCTTCTTTGATTTCATTAGACTTTTATAATTTTCCTCATATCAATCCTGTATATATCTTGTTAGTTTCATAGGTATTTCAGAACTGAGGTACTAATATAGGTGGTACTGTGTTTTAAATTTCTTTTCTTTTTTTTTTTTTTTTTTTTTTTTTTGGAGACGGAGTCTTGCTCTGTTGCCGGGCTGGAGTGCAGTGGTGCCATCTCAGCTCACTGCAATCTCCGCCTCCTGGGTTCAAGTGATTTCCCTGCCTCAGCCTCCCAAGTAGCTGGGATTACAGGCACGTGCCACCATGCCAAGCTAATTTTTTGTATTTTAGTAGAGAAGTGTTTCATCATGTTGGCCAAAATGGTCTCGATCTATTGACCTCGTGGTCTGCCCTCCTCGGCCTCCCAAAGTGTTGGGATTACAAGCATGAGCCACCATGCCGGCCCGTGTTTTAAATTTAAGGCCAATTGTTCATTGCTGGTACTTAGAACAATTGACCTTTGTAAATTAACTTTTTATCCTGCAGCCTTGCTATAATCGTTTATTAGTTCCAGGAAGTTTCTGTGTTGATTCTTTGTAATTTTCCATATAGGTAATTATGTCATCTTGGAACAATAATGAAGTCATTGGCTTTAGAAATATTTGTGTTATTGAAAAATTCAAATAATACAGAAGCCAAGAGAATAAAACAATGAACTCACCTTATGTCCTCATCACCTAGCTTTGGCAATTGTCAACTCACAGGTGAGCTTGTTTCATCCATACCTGAACCTGTGCCTCCTCCCGTCCACATTCCAGACTTTGAAAATCCCAGATATCATATCACACCATCAGATTATATATCAGAATCTACTTCTAAAAAAGGATGCTTTTGAAAACCATCCCATAAGGCTGGGCGCAGTGGCTCATGCCTGTAATCCCAGCACTTTGGGAGGCTGAGGCAGGTGGATCATGAGGTCAGGAGGGTTCAAAGACCAATCCTGGCCAACATGGTGAAAACCGCCATTCTCTTACTTAAAATACTAAAAAAATTAGCCCAGGCGTGGGTGGTGGTGCCTGTAGTCCAGCTACTCTGGGCGAGGGCTGGAGGCAGGAATGGCATGGAACCGGGGAGGCAGAGCTTGTAGTGAGGCCGCAGGATCGTGCCACTGGGCACTTTGCAGCCTGGGCGGACAGAGGCAAGAACTCAGTTCAAAAAAAAAAAAAAAAAAAAAAAATTACCTGGGGCATGGGTGGTGGACACCTGTAGTCCAGGCTAACTGGAGAGGCTGAGGCAGGAGATCGCTTGACGGGGGGGGTGGCGACTCGGGAGGCGGAAGGTTGTGGTGAGCTGAGCTCGCACCACTGCATTCCAGGCCTTGGGGCAAACAGAGGAACTCCATCTTCAAAAAAATAAAGGAAAAAGAGAAAAGAAAAACCATTCATTAATTACCCATTATCCCCCATATCCCCCTAAAACAAATTAAACAATGTTTCCTTGAATGCACTGGGGACTGTCCAATCGTTGGCTCAAATGTTATCCCAATTTGTGATATGAACTTTACAATGTTTTTGTTGTGAAATTTTTTCGCAATGTCAAAGCATGTTCTTAGGAAGAACAGGCATGGATGAACCCCTTTGAAGCGGCTTCACCTGTTTTCCACTGGCTGTTGAGAGTTGTTTCGGCTTTTTTTTTTTTGGAGACAGTCTGGTCGTGTTGCAGCGGAGGCAGTGGCGAGCAAGTCCGCCTCCGGATTTAACGCCATTGCTCTGCGTCAGCCTCCCGAGTAGGCTGGGTACTACAGGCGCCCCGCCACGGTCGCCGGCTGAGTTTTTTTGTATGTTTTTTGAGTTAGAGACGGGTTTGCTTTTTTTTTTTTTTTGGACGGAGTCTTCGCTCCGTAGGCCCAGGCTGGAGTGCGTGGCGCGGATTCGCTCACTGCAAGCTCCGCCTCCCGGGGTTCACGCAATTCTCCTGCCTCAGCCTCCGATGTAGCTGGGACTACAGGCGCCCCGCCACACGCCGGCTAGTTTTTTGTATTTTTAGTAGAGACGGTTTCACGCATGTTAGCCAGGGATGGTCTCGGAGCTTCCGGACTCGTGATCCACCGCCGCTCGGCTCCCCCCCCCCCAAATGCTGGGATTACATGCTTGAGGCCACGCCCCGGCCTGAGGACGGCGTTTCAACTGTTTAGCCAGGAGTGGTCTCGATCCTCTGACCTCGTGATCTGCCATTCCTCCGCCTCCCCAAAGTGCTGGGATTACAGGCTGTGAGCCACCGCACCCGCCTGTTCCCTTTCATTATTACTTGGCAGAGTGGTTGTAGCGCTCGCGCGAACTAGGTGAACATCCGGGGGTGGAGGCCGACAAACGAAGTCATTAACCCGTTTGCTGTTGTGTGTGGTTTGGTAGTGGTGTCCAAATATGAGTGTGTGTTGTTGTTTTGTTGTGTTGGGGTTTGTGTGGACAGTGCTCACTCAGTGTTGCCGCGCAGGGCTGGGAGTGCAGTGACGATCTGGTGGCTTCACTGCAGGCCGTCGCACGCGCGGCTCCTGGGCTTCAAGCGCCGGCATCCTCCCTGTAGTTCCGTCCTGAGTTAGCTGGGCACTATAGGGAGTGCCACCGTATTTCTGGGCTAACTTAAAAACATTTTTTATAGAGATGGGGTCTCATTATGCTGCCCAGGCTGGTCTCAAACTCCTGGACTCCAGCAATCCTCGCATCTTGGCCTCCCAAAGTGCTGGGATTATAGGCATGAGCCATCGTGCGTGGCCAATAATCACTCTTTGTACCAACAGGGTTATTCCAATGTCTTGGATTATTATTGCTATTTTTTCCTATAAAAAAGTGGTAAATATTTTTTCTTGTTTCTTTTATATCCCTATAAAATTTGTAATTATTCATTTGTTTAACAAATATTTCCTGAACCACTCCAGATACTGTAGCTGTTTTTCGTATAAATTGTATTCATTTCATTTAATTAATTACTCAGTGTTTCATATCTTTGCTGCATTGTGAGTGATTTCCTGTCAGTCTTGTGGTGCCTCCCCTCCACCACTGTTTTTTCTAACCTATCATTGCTGGCATGTAGAAAATGATTGACTCGGCCGGGTACGGTGGCTCACGCCTGTAATCCCAGCAGTTTGGGAGGCCGAGGCGGGCGGATTGCCTGAGGTCAGGAGTTTAAGACCAGCCTGGCCAACATGGTGAAACCCCTCTCTACCACAAAAATACAAAAATTAGCCAGCTGCGGTGGTGGGCGCCTGTAATCCCAGCTACTCAGGAGGCTGAGGCAGGAGAATCACTTGAACCAGGAGGTGTAGGTTGCAGTAAGCTGAGATCATGCCACTGCACTCCAGCCTAGGTGACAGAGTGATTCCGTCTCAAAAACAAAACAAAACAAAACAAAAAACAACAAAAAAAGAGATTCATGAATATTACTTTCATAATCAGACACCTAACTGAGCATTCTCTCTTTTTTTGAGTTGGAGTGTCACTCTGTTGCCCCGGCTGGAGTGCAACGGTGCGATCTTGGCTCACTGCAAACTCCACCTCCTGGGTTCAAGCAATTCCTGTGCCTCAGCCTCCCGAGGAGCTGGGACTACAGGTGCCTGCCACCACACCCAGCTAATTTTTTTGTATTTTAGTAGAGACAGGGTTTCAACACATTGGTCAAGCTGGTCTTAAGGTCCTGAACTCAAGAAACTTGCTCGGCTCGGACTCCCAAAGTGCTGGGATTCCAGGCATGAGCCACTGCGCCCAGGCTGTTTTGGTTTTAATTGTGGGGAAATATACACAATATAAAAGTGACAGTTGTAGCTATTTTAAGTGAACAGTTCAGTGGCATCGTGTGCATTCACGATGTTGTGCAAACCATCTGGTTACATAACTTTTTCACCATTCCTAACCGAAGCTCTCCACCCATGAAGCAAACCCTCCACATTCCAACCTCCCCCAGGCCCTGGCAAGCACCTGAACTCCCTGGATACGCCAGACATCCTGAGCCTTCTTCAGGAATCCCTCTTGACTGGGCAGCTCTTTAATGATTTGCTTTTTTTTTTTTTTTGAGACGGAGTTTCGCTCTTGTTGCCCAGGGTGGAGTGCAATGGTATGATCTTGGCTCACTGCAACCTCCACCTCCCTGGTTCAAGCGATTCTCCTGCCTCAGCCTCGCGAGTAGCTGGGATTACAAGGGCCCACCACCACTCCCGGCTAATTTTTGTATTTTTTACTAGAGATGGGGTTTCACCATGTTGGCCCATCTGGTCTCAAACTCCTGGCCTCAGGTGATCCACTTGCCTCGGTGGCCCAAAGTGCTGGGATTACAGGCGTGAGCCGCCGTGTCCGGCCTGTGATTTGCATTTTGAGCCATCTCTTTTCTTGCATCTCAAACAAATTTAAGGTCAAGTCTCAACTGGCGTGGATATTATACTGCAGCCCCAAGCTAGGGCCTGGATCTGGGCTTCACGCCCCTGGTCGCAGGTGCCATCAGACAGCTGGCCTTCCTGCTCTCATACTTGAGAATTCGCCTCTCTTTCTTTTGAGCTCAGCCATGTGTTTATAGCTGGGGGATCTATGTCCACCTGGTTCATTTCTGTTGCTAAAACCCTCCACGTTTTTTCTCACCCTCCCACATAACCTCTGACGGCAGCCTTTCCATTTACAGCACAGAAATAATGGTGCCTACCTCCCCCAGACGTGAGCTGGGACCGTAGGCTGGTGCATCGCTTCTGAAAAGTGAATACCGAGTGTATTCCAGGACCAGCTGAAACGCAAAGTCAGGCCACCACTTAAGAGGACTGGAGGGCCGAGCGTGAATTTAAAATGACTACTAGGTAATCACACCTTCTCTTAACTGGCCTGCTTCTTTGCTGGGTTTTATTTTAAGCGCTTCGGAGCATTTGTGTTGCTTTTGTGATCCTTCGTTCGTTCGTGGTTCTTTTGCAGCCAAGCCCTCCCCCGGCTTATGCAAATATGAGTCCCCCAGAAGGCAGCCCCCACACCAACTGCAAGGGACAGAGATAGTAAATTCCACAGCCAGGTTCTGGGTTTCGCCACCATCAGGAGAGATGAGGCCTGGAGTTCGGGGCTGGGGGCAGGGCACAAAGCCCCTCCTAAAATATCCCCACTGCCCACAGAGCCCCGTCTCCGTCAGCTCTTCTGCAACAGAAGACACATGCCTTTGGACTGTTGTTACCAAACCAGAGTCTGCCCGCCTCGCATGGCAAAGCCTAATTCTGACATCAGGGCTGCAGTGAAGAGAAAATGAGGCGTTTCACGCAGGAGACTCCCAGCAGGCAGAATCGGCCAGCTCATGCTTAAAACCCAGACTCCCCGACGGCTTCCCAGTGGCTTATGGGTAAGGGTTTTTAAAGGTGGGGAGGGTCCGGGCACAGCAGCTGAGGCCTATAATCCCAGCACTTTGGGAGGCCAACACAGGTGGATCACTTGAGGCCAGGAGTTCGAGGCGAGCCTGGGCAACATGGTGAAACCCTCTCTTTACTGAAAATACAAAAAGTAGCTGGGTGTGGTGGTGCCTACACCCCTGTAATCCCAGCTACTCGGGAGGCTGAGGCATGAGAATTGCTTGAGCCCAGGAGGTGGAGGTTGCAGTGAGCCAAGATCATGCCATTGCACTCCAGCCTGGAAGACAGAGCGAGACTCCATCTCAAAAATAAATATATAAGTAAATAAATAGAAGTAGGATATCTCGAAGCAGCGGCCCACAGGTCATAGGTGGATTTGAAGTTTTTTTTTTTTTTTTTTTTTATGGAGTCTCGCTCTGTTGCCAGGCTGGAGTGCAGTGGTGCAATCTCAGCTCACTTCAACCTCTGCCTCCCGGGTTCAAGCGATTCTCCTGCCTCAGCCTCCCGAGTAGCTAGGACTACAGGCATGCACCACCACACCCAGCTAATTTTTGTATTTTTAGTAGAGATGGGGTTTCACCATGTTGGCCAGGGTGGTCTTGAACTCCTGACCTCATGATCCGCCCACCTTGGCCTCCCAAAGTGCTGGAATTACAAGCGTGAGCCACCGCACCTGACCTGAAAATTTTCTAATTTGCAATTGCTTTAAGCAGGCGACGCTTTGTCTAAAAATCTGGGATCAGTAGAAAAGAATGCTAGCTCTGGCCTGTAGACAGGACCTCCTCCAGGCCTCTCGGGAAAGAATTTAGAACAAAGAACAGGGGTCAGAGTTCTGTCCTCAGCTCCCCCTTATCTGAGGTACCTGTCAACAGATCGTTTGGTGGGGGGGCGGGGGTCCAGGTTTCTGAAAAACAACTCAAGGACCTATGTTAAGATGTCATCTTTAGCTGGGTGCATTGGCTCTCGCCTGTAATCTCAGCACTGTGGGAGGCTGAGGCGGGCGGATCATGAGGTCAGGAGATCGAGACCATCCTGGCTAACATGGTGAAACTCCGTCTCTACTGAAAATACGAAAACATTAGCTGGGCATGGTGGCGGGCGCCTGTAGTCCCAGCTACTCTGGAGGCTGAGGCAGGAGAATGGCGTGAACTCAGGAGGCGGAGCTATGCAGTGAGCGAGATTGTGCACTGCACTCCAGCCTGGGCAGATAGAGCGAGACTCCGGTCTCAAAAAAAAAAAAAAAACAGTAATCTTTTAGCTTGGTGAGTTTGGCTCTCGCTGTAATCCCAGCAC